CCCCCGCCCCCTTCGACCCGTCGACCTTCGAAGGCTTCGAAGGCTTCGAAGGTTTCGTCGAGGAAGAGTCCCGGAACCAGCCTCGAAGTTGTCTTGAACCTTGGGAAACTTGCTCCAAATTTCTGCAGAAAGAACACGCATTTTTTAAGGCATGTCGAAAGTGTGGAGGCTCCTGGACCTAAGATCCAGCCAGGGCCAAGCAAAGACACGAGCAGCAGCAAAAGCAAAGGAAGCAATGGATTCCCCACCGCCCCCGTCACCAGACTCGAGGTGCAGAATCCGCCTGTTCCGCAGCAGCCCATCCACATGCTTGGACGGAAGCTGCAAAAACATGAATCGCAAGAGTTAAGACATGTTTTCAAGCTGAATTTTCCGTTTTTGTGCGACGTCCGTCAAACGTTTCTGCTTGTGTCCCAAATTGATTCTTCAAAATCTTAAAAAGGCGCCGATGCACTCAGGCGTGTTTGCTTAAACAAGACGCACCCACCGTCAGAAGCGAGAAGCAGCTTTCATGAACGAAGAGTGATTGCAGTGTGTTTTTCATAAATTTGGAAAGAACGCGTGTATTTGCCCAAAAACAGTGTGCGCACGGAAGCCCACTCATGTCACACCGAATCTACCGTTTCGTGTATGCTATCGGAAGATAGCTTCGTGGCCCTTACCAGGGTGATTCGATTCGAAACCATTGGTCTCGGTTGTGATGAGTGCAGTCGCTTTTCCTGTTGTTATATCCATTTGTGCATGGTGATGTAAGACATCTTTGTTCCGCTGTTGAATGTCGAAAGTCCAACGGCTTGGGTGGCTTGCCGAAACAAGTAGATGGGATTGTTTGAAAGACAAGTCATAACAAGGAAAGAAAGGGTGCAGAGTTTCGCAGGTCAGAATTTATCGACGATTTTAGCATGGTGTCCAACATGTTGTGAAACTTTAGTGGTGCTACGTAACCTGCTCATGCTTTCCGAAAAGGTGTTTTGCACATGCTCAGTCTCGGGTTAAAAAACTTTGTTTTGCACGGGCGCAATGTTCCGTGTTCTCGAAAAATCGATGTCCAGTTCAACCCTGCGCCCAGTTCGAAACGAGTACTGGCTGATAGGTCGTTGAATCTGTTGTGTTCCACGATGCTGTGTGGGTTGCGCACACACCATTGCGTGGGTGAATGTCGCGGTTGGAATGCGTACAAACGCAAGATTGACCGGCATTTGTTTGACGCTGTTGCCAACATAAGTCTTGCACATGTTTGTCGTGAGGTGGCTGGATGGGTTTCATCTTGGTTCAAGGCGTCCCTGTACTACTACCAAACACCAGCTGAGCTGCAGAAGTATCTTGCACGCGCCTTAGCCCTCAGTATGCTGAGTCTCATGGTCGTACACACAGATAACTTGTTCTTTGCAGGTTGTGGGCACGCAAGACCCCAGCAGGAGAAACTGCACAGCTTAGCTGTTTCCGAGGTGGGACCAGTTTGCTCATGTAGTACTGTGCACTCAAGTCCTCACGCATTCTCGTGCTGGCTGAGTTCGGGATTGCATCATCTCCTTGCCTGGGAGAGACTTGTTCATTTCTGTGGTTGGCTTGCTGAAGCATGCTTGTTCCTGCTTTTCTCTCATTCTTCTATGCGCATGCATTTGTCTATGGATGGTGCCGGCTGTTCGCAGGCTCTTTATGGCAAGGTTTGAATCTTTTCTCGTCTTAGCTGCATCATGCGCAGTCTGGGCCTCAGTCGTAGGCGGTAGACATCCCCTGGACACGTTTCGTTGCTTTCGTGTCCAGGTGGCCGCAGATGCTGCAACAATTACGACGGTATACCCCAACCGGGGTTCAACGGAAGGCTTTGCATTGTGCGAGTGGAAGTGGCCACACAAGCAAATTCAACAATGTAATTGTGAAAGGCGGAACTTATCTTGTCATCAGCGGCTCTGGATTCATGATGCCGACCGAGGCTGCTGCATGCTCCCTGTTGCCCCACGTGGATGTGGTCTACATGCGATAGGTAGATCATTGAGGGCGCTTGATGCATCAGTAGGCATGATCCCATCCGCATTGACAAAGACTCAATAAGCCCCTTCTGCATGTGCCTGTCTTCAGCGCAATCGTCGCGGCCTGGCTCGTAGCCAACGGATGCCACACGACCATGAGGCTATCAACAGTCAGAGCATAGCTGTTCGTTGTCAACACGCATCAGGCAAGTAAAGGGAATCCGAACTCTTGGCATGGAACACTCAGAAGTTCCAGCTGCCATCCTGAAGAAGAAGCAGGCTGCCGAAAGTTTCAAAGCATGCTCTGGCACCTGTTTTGGCATCTTTGGGCAGGTGTGGGCATCGTGTAGCCCAGCCACGTCACCAGCTTCTGCATCACAGAGGAGTGGCAAACGAGTGTCTTTCCAATCTGTTTCGATCTCAGCTGTCGATTGTGAGCAGTTTCGAAAATAAAGGATAGGCCTTTGGTCTCTCGCCATTGTAAACCTGCCGCTCATGTTCAGTCCAGGTGCCAGATGTTCATTTCATTGCAGCTCGGTGTCGCACAATATTGAGTGATGTTGTTCTCTTTGTCAGATGCTTCGGACGGGTTCTGAGACTCAGGAGTTAGTCAGAGAAAAAGCCCCCAAAGTGGTATTGACTCTGGAAGACAAAGATGATGATACCGACGTGGAAATCGTGGGATTTTCTGCAGAGGCTGGGCAGCAGTGAGCCAACATTGCGAACTCATTTGACTTGATGGTTGCTTGCAACCTGCTGCAGCTCTTTGCATTCACCGGAGCGTATAGTATGCAGGCAAATGCAACAAAGCAAATCGCACAGCTTTCTGCCCAAGCACCTGAACTTGGCTTCGTGAACAGTGTGGCTGTTTAGGACATTGGGCACTGGCATGTACTGGTGCTTTGATTCCAGAAATAGTTGCACCTGGACACGGCTCTTGTCAGAGGAGCTGGTGCAGAGATATCGTGCCGGGTACCCAACGAGTCCTGGGAGATTTGGTTGGCGATGAACTGTGAGCGCATGAGCTCTTGCACGCTTTCACCGGAATTCGGGGCTGCTCTGTGTAGGAACCAAGCATGACCATAGCTTTTGGCGGCGTGTCGCAGAACGAGTCAGCCCCGTTCTAGTCTGCATGAACTTCCACAAGGACCAAAGGCAAGGAAGAGGCTTGCCTCAGGATGGTCCGTTGAAACAAGGACAGCTAGATGCCTTGTATGCGTCTGGATTTCAATCCAGGCGATGTCAAGTTCGGCCTGATAATGCAGTCGAAGCTAGATTCACTAGATGCATGATGTGAGCTGTCTAACACGATGCGAAAAGTTTGGAATCAAGCCATGCTTTCTGAGGCATGCAGATGCTAAGACGCGTCTGATGTGCCTGACTTGGTGACATGGTGTTAGTCTTCCCGAATGCTTTGGCTGGACAGATGTCGCCGACGTCATTCGCAGATCACCTTGTCAGGGATCCCTCTCTGCAAAAACGGAGCCCGAAAGGTGTTTCAATGGAAAGCCTTCTCACCCTGGCGGCACTGCAGGCTAACCCCTGGGATTCGCAGGTCGTCTATGTGAGGCTCTGAGAGCGTTTCTTGCGGTGTCCATGCGATGTGCCGGCAGGGATACGGGCGTGGAATGTGTGTGCAGGCTTCTCTGTTCTGCCAAGGTTGGGTCGAAAATCTGCAACATCATGGCACACTATACGTCATCGACACAAATTGTCAGCTGCCTGGGCTTGGAGCTGGAGCTATGCTGTTAGTGGCTGTGTTCGTAGTGCTCAGGTTTGTATGACCACGCCTCACGATGTGGTTGCTGAGAGTTCCGAGACCGTATCTCAGCGAGCTTAAGTGGGCTCAGAAAGGATTGCTCAGTTTCGTTGTTGCAAGGTCATTGACTGTCAGTGTACAAATCTTTGGCGGCCTCGGACTTGTCTTGCACCCAGCGGAGGACTAGTGACCAGTGTACAAATAGTGTACGATCTTGAGCGTGGTTCCTGTCCTTTGGCCGAGGCTGGTAAGATCTTGCCCCGTACCCTGTCGGCCTTCTTTTCGCTCTGTTAGTCTGATGTGTGCTTCCGGTGCATCGGGATCTCTCTTGGTGGGGAGATGGGGTAATTATCCTGCTGCACTGAGTTGACCAGGTGATGCCGAGGCTGCAATACAACAGAAGGGAGTATCGGAGAGGATCTCAGTAGGAGCATGGAGTTTGCACTTAGCGATCACGTCTGGCTGATGGTGCCCTCATCGCAGCCTGCCTTAGACAAACAGCCGCATACAGCGCACTTCTCGCTCCCACAGCCGACAGCCCGACGGAGGCCAAACGGAATGTTACTCTACTAGGTAGGGAACAAGCATGGTCCGCAGCCAATCTGGAAACGGCTCCGAAGGCTAAAGTGACATGAGTTCTGAGTATTCAGAGAGTGAGTTCCTTTTTAAGGTGCACGACCTCGTGGGGACAGCGCCGCTGCAGACAGAGAGAGAGAGTGAGAGAGAGAGAGAGAAATAAGAAGGCGTTTTTGCAACTGGCGTTCAGAGACTCGGCGTGGGGCCTGCATTAGATATGCTTGTGAAACTCAAGTGATTCTTGGACAAATTGACAGTTAGACATGGACTTCCGGTGGATTCTGGCAGTCCTGTGCAAAGGCTTCGTATGCATCCAAGAGCAGTGCGTTTCAATACCACTGGCAGGTTCTCTCCTCAGGCTGTCTTGATTCGGCGACTGATTGCAGAAGCGATTCCATCTCATTATGCCCTCATGCTGCGTGTTTCAGGATACCGCCATTATCCACTGGGCCAACCACTGGGCCGGCTTGGCACTTGGCTACAGAGAAGAAGTTGGGGTACATGCCTGCTTCCAAAACCGATTCTTGAAAGCAACGTGCAGCAGTCGCCTGGCAATCCACGATTATAGGACAGAATGTATCGGTGTGGTCTTCGCAAGGTACAGGCGGCGACATCATGGAATTTGGTGGTCGATACCCTTGTGAACACGGCTTGGCGAAACAGGGACTTGAATTCATCCATCCGAGGAGACATCCCTGCTGGCGCAACCTCTGCTGGTCAGCCGGGCTCTCCAATGCACAGGTTTTTGTTGCGCTTGAACTGTGTTGCATGGTATGTGTTTCCCCACAACTCGTGCAACTCATGCTTTTCATGCTTTAGAGAGTAGTAAATGCAATCTGCATCGGCACGCATCGAGCCGCCGGGGGGTATTGCGGAAAACCCGAGATCACGAGAGAGAACGCAGTGAAGTGTCGGGTGTGGGGAATGCTCAGGGAGCACTCGAGCTTACCCCAAGGCCGATCCCGAAAACACACACAACCTAAGCTTGCATTTCCGGGAGTATGTGGGATGCTTGAGGACGTTGTGGCGGTGTTTCGACAGTCGAAGCCCTGTCAGTTCGATGTTTTCGCTTGCGTGCCAGATTCCTAAACTTCGCACTGTCTAGCATCAGGTGAGCTGATCACACGCCAGAACAAACGAGTGGAATGGAACTGTTCCAGCTACCATTGTTTGCTGCTAGTCGTCTTGCGAGTTGTGCTGTTAAGTACTGTTTCGCATGCCTCGTTGCAGTGTACTTCCCCTCCGCCCTGCTCTTCAACTGGACCCCCTGATAGCACTCATTCTGTTTGGGGTCTTCGCCGAACAATTTGATGTTTCGTGAACTTGGGATGGCAGGTCGGCGAGCAAGCAAGAATAAGGGTCTCGCAATTCTCCCTCCCAAATCCTACCGCAGTGAATCCTTGCTGAACCCAACCCCGAAGTACGGCTGCGGCATAGACCGGTGGTTGGGGGCTCGATGACATCACGAACGCAGAGCCTAACAAACTTCATGGGAGAACTTGAGCCTGGATTTGCTGGTCGGACATTTTGCAGATGCACACGCAGTTGGGGATTGTGCACATCAAGCAGTTCTGTTTTGCCGATCGAAATGGGCCGACTAATCAAGATCTGCCGCAGCAGCAGTTCTATGAAGGACTGGTTTCGTGACGCACAGGTCAGCTTTCTATTCCCTGTGTTTGGGCCGAAATTTGTTCATTCCTCGAAACGTTTTTCTGAATTCATTGAACAGCTGTGGCCTCTCGCTCGTGTTTCCGAAGCTGGGTGGAGTCCTTTTACTGGCTTCTTGCGGTTTAAGCAGAAGAACAAGGTTCGAGATCCGTGTTGGTGATGCTTGGTGCCACGTCGATGAAGAGGCCGGGACCATCGGTCCAGCTTGTCGAAGCGTCCTTAGCCTGGAGAATCGAGCCCGATCATTTTAGCAGTGCAGGTGTGGCCATTGTCAAACCGGAGAAGGAGTCGAGACCTCAAAGAAGCGAGAATGAATGGCTGGCTGAATGTGCTGCAAAGCCAGGCTGGACAAAGCAGGTAAGTTGCCAGCTGCCCGACGACGACCTGCTGATTCCTGGATATTACAATGCTCCCCGGCAGCAGCCAATTCTGTGCCATCCACTACACTGAACAGGATTTGTTTAATGTTGGTCTCGTTGCCGTGTTGCGTCTAGCAGCATGCTGAGTTGAAGGAGAGGTCCCAAGACACTAAGCTAAGTCTCAATGAAGCCATATAGGCCTCCTCCATTGCCAAAGCTTTTCACTTTGAGCCATGTGGCACTGCCCCAAGGTGAGCATACGGGTCAACAGCCGCTGCCTCAAACTTGTGCACGCCCTGACCGGCCACCGGACTTCCGACCAAGGCTTGGACCGAGCAGATGGCGATTGTCCGAACAGCTTGTGTTTCCCATACACGGAGGAACAGGCAGTGGACCTTGTGCCTTTCTGCGTGTGCTTAGAGAGATCTAAGCACAGGCTGGGACGCGATTCGGGCATGGGTTCGCAGCAATCGCCCGAGTCCCGGCAGGGTTGTTACGTGCCATGTTTCGCGCGTGTCATCGCTTACAGCAGAGGCGATGCAAATTGGAAATACCTTTGCAGGTGAATCCGCCTCCATCTTCTTCGAACGGCAAGTTGAACAGGTGCTCAGACGGGCATGTACGTTGCAGGCAGAACCTCTGGTTTATGCGATGTAATCCGGCGCAGGGTATGGGGTGGCATGTTGGACATCGTGCCACTCGTCAGCACTCTCCCAGAGCTTCTGCAGCAGATGAATGGAAAAGTTTTGCCATCCGCAGCCCCAGCCAAGGACAGGACACACATACCACTTTACGGTATATCCGCAGGTGAGGCTTCCCCTTGTCTGGCCTCGACTTCAGATGAAGTCAATAACATATGGTTTCGCTTCCGTCTCTGTGAGCATCTTGAAAAGATCGACAAGAGGATCGTACCAAACTCATTGAGAAGCAAACTCACGGATTGTGCTTTTTGTTCGGCATTTGGTGTTACTTGGCACATGCAAGAGGCAGAGAATCCCGGGGGGAAGAACGCTTAAACGTGAAGTCTTCGACCTCTGCCCAAGCAGCCCAACAACTGGTCACCTGTCCACTTCAGCATGCCAGGACGAATGCACACAACAGTCATCAGATCCAAGCAACCAAGTAAACGGCAAAATGCAAAAGCTCGATCATTGCCTGAGTTCTGAGCAAAGCCACTGCGGGACATGATTTACTAGATCAAGCTTCAACCGCTGGTCGGAGCAGTCTCTGCTTCTTTCTGAACTTTGTTTCGAAACTATTCCAAGAATCTTGGTCCCATAGCTCGGCGCACCTGTATGCTTCTTGTTCCGGTCCTAACTTGTTGTCCGCGTCTGAAGCTGATAGCTTTTCGATGTGAGATGTTTGATTTTTGCCTTCGCCGGACGGGCAAAAGACAAGAACGTTCTCTCGATGAGTCAAAGTGGGCTACTAGGGGTGGACAACATCGCTTCTTTGATGCCGAGTCATTGAGTGGTCGACTGCTGCCTGACAGGTCAACTCGATTGAACCATTGGAAGGTGGCCTTTATGGCTGCACCGGCATTTTGAAAGCAAGTTCAGAGCCATGTGTGTTTGTTGCAGTGTTTAGCATATTGTAGTGGCGTAGCTGCCACTTGCAGTGGATATGATCTGGTGGTTGCCTTAATCGGTTGTCTTCGAGCTGTGCAGGGGAGGTTGTCGATTGTGTTGTCGTGGCACCAGGAACGGTTGCAGAACGTGCTAGGCATCAAGCCCCAGAGGTTTCAAGCGATGTTGAGTCAGTGAGGAAGATACTTGAGCAGGCTTTGAGAGAGGAGAGGGAGGATTTGAGATAGTGGCAGGTGGCAACAACTTGACGATCCATGGATCTTCGTTTGCTGCTATGGGCTCAGTCTTTCGCAGGTTGTTTGCGAAGCTTTGGGAGATAACACATTGAGAAGTTGCTCGAGTTGTATGTAGTTGTTCAGCCTCTTCTGCTAAGCCACAGCCTCTTCCTTTCCTAATTTGGTTTTGTGCGACCTTGGAGCACACAAGAAAGATGGGATGCATTCCCACATCGCTGTGTGCATGTTCGCACATGTGAAGTAGGTGCTGGGCCACAGGAACTAATTGAGGGGCGGGTGTCGGCGCAGGGGTTCGAATTAGGCGCTTTCAGTTCTTGACTCAACGGGCGACTTTTGGGAAGATCTGGAGAATCGACAGGTGCTAGATCCGTAGTTCGAGGTTTCTCCAGGCGCTGCCATGATTTTCACGTGAGCAGCACGACTTCCTTGAGTTCAGGCAGAAATGGAGGGCAATCAGGTGACTGTCGGCGGCGTTCCCTGTGAGGCACGAGTCGCTGGACGAAACCCACGCATGTGTGCCCAGAAATTTGCATGCACGTAGAGGTTCTGGAGGCCACAACAGACACCATTGTGTCAGGGGCCTGTGCCACTGAGAGGGTCGTGTGCACACTGAGTTGCATGCTGATGCTCGACGGAAGAACGCGAGGTGCAGACTCGGCCAGTGGAATGACGCAGCGGATCGTGGCGAGACTGTCCGTGGGTTAGGATCTCGGACGTCTTGTCTAACTGGACTGCACTAGACGTTTACAGGGTTTTCGATGGGTGAAGCAAACAACAGCCTGGGTGTGTCAGAAACAACGAGGTTGCGTCTGTCCTCCACATTGTTGAGCGCAATGCTAAGACTAGGCGTTCAATCATAGGTATGCGGTCGGCAAACATTTAATGAGTTGGCAAATTGCAAGTACGTAGCAGCTATAGAATGCCACTTTGCAACATGGAAGTTGTTTGGCATCTTCAATCGAGGCTCCACTACAACAGATGGAACGATCGGCGTCGCCGGGTGCCGCTGCAGCCGTTGAGAGAACGTTGCCTTAAAGTGTCCTTTCATTTGAGGGAACCTCGGTTGGGGAAAGGCATCTTGAGATTGAGCCGTAATGCATGCACGTACGTTCTTGGTCTTCTGGACGCTGCAGTGAACCTTGTAGATGCAGTTTGCAGGCGTGGGGCATTAACAACATCCCGGCCAAGGAGGCGCAGCCCGATAAAATTCCGGGGGTTCAGATTCTGAGCTACCTGCTGCGAAGGCCAGGGGCGATGCCTTCGAGACCGGCTTTCTGAAGGTGGGGCACAAACTGTTTGACCACTTTCTCGTTCTTCTCGTGAGAGGGCCGAGAGGGTTTAGGGATGTTTAGGGTTTCGGTGTTGTGCATTTTCCATGGGCCTCGCTGCAGCACAGCCGAGAAAGCGGCGAGGGTTTGCTTGGATCGGCCCCAGTTGGCCAGCCTCGTCTAACGTAGCTAGCAAATTCCTCTTGCAAAGCCTGTGCCTTGCTGGGTGAGGCCTCTTTGTTCCAAGTTGCCACAAAAGAGCCGTGGGACAACGACCCGGCCCGGGACCCTTTGACTGCTTCTTGCTGTGCTGACAGACTCACTTCGCCGCATGGCCATGGCGAAGCGATGGGTTGACAGTGCAAGGGAATCGATCGCACACTGCTGGAGCTAGATGGCTTCTTCGCAGCGGGCCCAGTTGCTCCGACACGAAGACGAAGGACTCGGGAGAGAACGTGCTGGCTTGTGTCAGGTACCGCCTCTTGAAGCGAACTACAGCTTCTACATTTGTGGACTGGGCCTGAGTGTACTTGGAAACTGGTGAACGCAGCAACTGCCAACTACATACAAAATGAGGCGATGATGGTGCATCTCTGGAGCGGCTTGCCTGAAGTCGCAGATTTTTTGTGACTCGCCGCTCTTGCAACTGCCGAGGATCGGTGAAGATGCGGGCATGCCGCATTCCACACTTCGCACTGTGGCATACTTTGAAGACTGGGTTGGGGTCTCATAAGCTTATGCACGGCTCAGCACCGGATTGGCACCATCAGATTCATCGTGCTCCTGTGAGGACAGGGTGCAGTAAGCACTCCTTGCCCTGATCATGAGGTGTCTTCCAGCGACTACGGGATGATTTCGCCTTTCTGCTGGCCAGCCATCGGACAGGCTTTTCAGCTCTGGGAGGAACTGCTGTCCCTCCTTCAGGTACTTCCACGAAGATGTCGCATCTGGCGACTTCACAGGAGCATACTGCGTGGTGGGTTTGGGGTAGCAGGTAGGTCTCATGTTCATTGCAGGCAACGACAAAAAGATCTCTGATGATGTGCTGTTGACAGCTGGTGAGCAGTTGCCTCAATCGCGGTTCCATGCACTGAGATCTCTGGACGCTGGGTGCTTTGTTACCAACGCTTGATGCTTTTTTTCCTGCAACTTGGTTCGAAGATGAGCCGAAGGCTGAATTTGTGATCTCATGGCCTGGGCCTGTCTGGCCCTGTCTGGCCCTGGCCCGGTTTTTTCACCATGTCCACCTTGACGACCTTGCCTTCCTCTTTCCCATGGACCAAGAAACAAGAGCTGCCTCAACTGGCCAGGAGGAATTCCCTGTTGTCTGGACTTTGGCAGGCTGCTGAAGCGGGCCTTGTGGATGAAGAACTGCCTTTCTCTGCAGTTACAGTGAACCTGCCGAACTTGAGTGCGCCGATCCACACCACCGTGCAATCTTCGAAGGAATATGTGCGAGGATCAGAACACGTCAGTACACACAGTGGAATCAGTCTCGTCAGCACAGAGAAGCGCAAGGCCCTCTTGTCCACACTCGAAGATGGGGCTCGATACACGCAGCGCTTCAAGGATTGTTGCCGACGCAAGTACGGAAAGCTTGTCGTAGCATGGCGGATCCTCCTGGATCCGGGTGGCAATGGACGTGTCTCTTTCGTGCCTTTCTGCAACGCGGCACGAGCCATGGGCTTTGTGAACGTCTCCACGCCACTCGCTTGCACCCATGATCGGTTTGGTGTTTTCTCGTCTTGAGCGAGATTGCAAGCACTTATGCTGTCAATGTGGGACTCGTGCAAGAGTCCTTGAATCGCGGGTTCCCTTGTCAAGTGGACACGTGCAGGTGTGCTACGCATTCGTTGGTGATTGGTAATCTGGGGTCGCTCTCTTGGTTTCATATTTCGAAACAGGCTTTGGCGGCATCTGGACGTTAAGTGCACCGGCTTCCTGACGCTGGACAGCTGGGATCCCCACTCATATCGAGTTCTCATGGAATTCCGGGAGCATCTTTGCTGAAAGCGGTATGAGTTTGAGATCTTCGCTAATCTTGTCGCTCTGAAAACTTCGCACCGCTGCAGACGCCGACTGGTGGTGCGACAGGTGTTGTGTTGCCTGCCTGAACATCGTGCTGATCGTGGCTTGAGCTGACCCTAAGGATTTGCAGATCTGAATTCGGAGGAGTTGTGGAGGCTTTCAAGTTCGGAATGAACAGGACCGGATCAGGTGCTTGTCGCGAGCTTACTTCTAAGCTGCGGTCAGATCTCTGTTGCAGAAGTCATTCTTGCGAACGCGAAGCCAACAGATGTCACATTCTAGCCGTGAAAGTGCAGTGTAGTCACCAAGGTTACAAGAAAGAGTTTGAGCAGTTTCTGAAGAATTTCGAGTTCTCTGGAGATTACCAAATGCTCTGGGATGCTTTGGACAAAGATCGTGGCGGCTTTATCACAGCAGCTTGCCGCCACACACGAGAGTGTTTGGACTGTGGCAATGCTTCGTAGGTATTGTGCTCGCAAGTTTGGTCGCAGTTTGCATCCCAGTTTTTTCGTGCAAGTCGTACAAACATGTCGGACTGGCCAGACAAGCACGCTACTTGTAACGGCTATTGTAACGGTCAGAAAGGTTGCGACTCCCAAGCATCGGTGCCCAGGTTGATGAGCTTTTCTTCTTAGCACGATGGCAGGGCGAGCGCTTCCGACCTGACAAGGCTCAAGAGAACTTCAGAATCGACAGTGCCTGTGAGAGCTGCCTTAGAGCATGCTTTTTATTGCCTGCTGATCTTCTGCAGAGTTTCACTTGCATACCGCGCTGCAGGTCCAGCGTGAGTTCAATCTGAACCTTGTGCGATTGAAGATGTGCAAGCAGCAACGACAAAAGCATCAAGCGAGGAGATGCGCTGAGTTCGACCCAGAGCATGTGATTTCAACTAGAAGTTGGCATCGGTGCGAGGATGAACGAGTTCAAAGCTCGGATCGAGGACGAGCAGCAAGTCCTGGCAGCTTGACTTCGGTAAGGTGGAAGCAGCCCCCGCAACCCCTCCCAACCTCTGGTTTCATCTTATGCGTCTTCTACAGGGGCTGAGGACGAAACCCAGTTTCAAGACACTCTGCAAGTCCTGATTCACACACAACAGTTTCCTGGTGCCATTTGGGCTCTTCGGTGCGATGATGTGCACTCGTGAAGTCCCTTGACACGTGTCACCAACGTGTTTGGGTGCCTTTTCAGAGTGAGATTCGGCTCTCTTATGGTATCACTCTCTCCTGCGTGTAGGCGTTCTCATGGGGCCTGCAGCTGTTGCCTTGGCGTGTTCTTACGGATTTGGGTGCAGACTCAGAGCTTATCTCCTTTCTTCATGCACTTTAGGGCTATAGACTTACTTGCCACATCCATTTTCTGGCTGCAAGGGCTTGTCATAAAGTCCAAGCGGCGCTGAATCCAAGATTGGTCCCTAGATTCTGAAGGTCTCCCACGTTCCCCATGTCGCGAAGTCTCGCGTGTCGTGATCCATCCATGTCTAAGATCCCGCTAAGGAACGAAACCGGAGTCTACGGATAGCTGCTAAGCAGCATGTCCGTCTGACTACCGCAACTTGGCAGCTCTTTGCATACAATGTTTTGATGATGTTCGCGGTCCTTCTCCAAGGAGCAAGTCCGATCAGCAGAAGAAGAGGACTTTGACCCAGCCGCTGATGCTGACAGTGATAAATCGGATGTATCGTAGTTGCATTATGTTGTGTCTCGCAATCGTTACTTGTGCCTGCGAGTGCTCGGCACAAGCTACTGTACGTACAATGGTTCGCTGGTTCTGCGAAGCAGCATGTATACTTCGCAAGCGAAGATTTCAGTGCCTTACCGTCGCGGTACCTTTCGTCAAGCGGTGGGCCCGCTAGTGGTGCTGCAACAGCCCGCTGCGAATGTCTCCAATGTGTACATGCCAGTGTTTGTCGTCGTATGTCATTGTAGCAGAGCAGCTTCATTACACCTTTCGCTCTGCCTGGGACTTGAGAGCAGATGCGGCACTTGCCACCAACGCGCCCTCAAACAGGGACGACGGACAAGCCTGCGAATCCTGCTTGATTTTCCCTCAAGTCCATGGATAGAGAGACGGACTGCACCAAAAAGTCAGTACGAGCTGCGTTTACTGCGTGCTATCTTTGCATATGGTTGGCGTGTTCTCGCGCCGAGGCATTTCCCGTTCCGCTTGAGGCATCACTCCGGAACAGGCCGGAACATGTCCCCCAGGGAAATGACGCGACTCCCAGCAGCTATTTCCAGGAGCCAATTGGATCCGCTTTGGCATGAAGGTGGTGTTACTGTGTCGCGTTGGGCTGGATTCCGAGTTGCTGTTGTGAGTGGAGGTTGCTGGCCTGAGTACGGCCACTACGGACAGAGCCTTATCAGGGTCCCAAAGCTGTTTCGAAAATTTCGAAAATTGGAACTTCCTGAGCCATGAAGAAGCTCAGGCTGATGGCTCCCTGCTGCAAAGCAGCCAAGCAAGCAAGCTCAGGGGTTTGACTGGCAGGGTGCACGGGATTGTGTGATGAAGTTCTGGATCCTTACGATTTGAGGTGGAGGCCATGACAGCCATTGCTCCATCAATGGAGCTGCAGGCTGACTGACGTTTAGTTACCCTAAACCCTAAACCCAAAACCCTAATAGTTTCCATTCAACTCCCGTGCCGTTGTCTTGGTAGATCGCCTCGACGTTCACGAGTTTGGAAGGTGATTAGGCTCACCTCGAGCGGTGTTCTTCGAGAACAGCACTATGCGTCAGCCTTACAGCCTCCAAGACGGCTTGCTTGTCGTTCGCGTAATGTCGTTTCTGTCCACCTTGTACTCGTTTCGCCGATCCAAACGTATTCTTGATGTTTTGATGCAGGTGCAGATTGCAGATGTCACTCAGCCAGGCAGCTTTCGACTTCGCCCGGCCCTTGCTGGGTCTGGAGTGCAGGACTCGCATTGGGCTCCTCATGCTCAGGTCTCATTGGACAACTGGGCGAGGATGGTCATATGGGCTTCCAGCGCAGAGTAGGTCCGTCGTTGACCTCTTCCGTACATGTGTTCGGCAGGAAGCGTTCATCACTTTCTCGAATTCGGTGGAATTTGGCAAAGTGAGGCCCTGAAGCTGAAAGCTTCTGGCACGGCTCTGGTGTAGATGGAACTTTCTGTAAGCATGGAGCGGCTGAGAAGACTCGGGTGCAGGGACGACATCCGCGATGCGAGGGCCGCGGACTCTGAGAGTCGACTCAGCTTCCGTTTCGGTTCCGTCTTGGGTCCCCTCAAGTCATCAGGCAGGTTGCGTGTGTCTCTGTGTCTGCGGGAAGGTCATCCTCGCTGGAGAGGAGCCTCGAAGGTGCTGGTACAGAGTCCAGGTAGGCCTCGCGAAGTTTCCTGTACCAGGCTCCATGACTGCAGAAGTGTCTCCGGTGACGACGATGAGTCGGTTGCTGCGCCCATGCGTCGTTTCATTCTCTCCTTCAACTGTCCGCTTGAAGCCGCGACCTTGGAATCAGCAGTCTTTGTCACTGTCGGTCTCCGTAATCTCGCTGACGCATGTCTTGAGGTCGGCCAGACGAACTGGATCAGGCAAACCTCAAAGCTTCTGAGGGTTCCGAGGGTCTTCAGGGTGGAGGTCGAGGTTGTGAATCCCACCGCCAGAGCACATCGCACGACGCTACCATCACCACATGAATCACTTCGGGCCCTCGAGCTTCTCCAGAGTTGCAGTCTGAAGAGGATGGAAGTATACGATGCGGGCGCCGGGGGTGCAACAGTCGGCCAGTTGCAGACAGCCACGGCCTTTCTGCACTCAGAAGTTCTGACCGCTTGCGGTGCTTGTACCTTGTTTGTGCATGCAGTTCTGTTTAGGCCACGGCACCTTTGTCGGGCAGCTTTCAAGTGGGCCACAGTGGCAGTTGGAGCCAGCCCATTGATGCCTCAAGCTTACCTGAGACCAGATGGTCATTCTCAATCAGTTCATCATGATTCATGCAGGCCAGGACTGCAACACGCAGCTGGTCGCACATCGCATCAAGCGTCACAGCGATGAGGAGATTAAAAAGCATACTGCTTCCTGGTGGGGAGCACGAGTTGCTCTCAGGAGACCTGCCGCCGACCCGGCCGGACAGCTTGAGTTGGAGCCGCTTGGCGGAAGGTTGCTTTTTTTCGGCTGTCAAAGCTCTTGGGACTCTTGGGAGGTGCTGGAAGCATCCCTGGGGCTGGACCACCAGTCAGATGCTTACACCGGCGCGCTGCACGTCTCGCACAAGCATGGCTTTGCCCAGGTGAGCAGTTTCAACTTCTTGTTCGCTTCCGCCGGCCCATCGGCAATGTACCCGAACTGGAGCTCAACACCACAGGCACCCAAAAGCACAACATTTTCCGTGGAGCATCGACACCATGCGACAGCCATCCAGAAGGAAAAGCTGAAGCACAGCTTCATGAACTATCAGACGACTCGCTTGTAGACGGACAGGAAGGTCGCAGAGCCAGGGAGAGTAAGCAAGCTGTGCAAAAGTGAACGCACGGGTGAATAAAGGTTTGTTTCTATGACTGTACGACTACACGGATATAGTTGCTGCATGAATGGTTGGTAGTTGCCGGTACCACGGTTTCGGTTAGCCTGCAGGATGTACTCGAGTGACTAAGCCAAGAGAGCCGGCATGCAGAAGCGCGGTTTATTTGTTTGTCTACTTGTTTTTCTGTCCGTTTAGATCTAACGACTTAGCTGTGCATTTGATGTGCATCGCTGCATCCGGTTGCAGGTCTGCTGGGAAGCGGCTTCCAATTGCAGGCTAGACAGACTCAGAAGCGCAGGTTTCTATTTCGTTCAGACAGGTCATGATGAACCTTTTGGTTTTTAGGGAAAAGAAGCAGGATGACAGTTGGCCGATGGGTCGGTGAATTTACGGATGTTGTGGGATGCAAGGTCTTTACCTTGGAAGATGGCGATGCCGACGCAATCTTCCTTGAGAAGGTGGGGGCTTTGCTGTTTGTTACAGTGAAAGTCTCGAGACTCTACGGTTCTGCATGTTTTGTTCTCCTCTGCAAGAGTTGTGCAGAGGAAGCGACGTAGTGCCAAGAGTGCCGAAGGTTCAGTAGGTCTAGCTGTTGCGGCCAGCTCGAGAAACCTCCCAGGTCCCGCTCGACATGTTCCAGGCCAAGCCTATGGCATGAGGATCAACCATGGTGCTTGAACCGATTCTCTCCAAGCCAGGTACCACGTCCATCCGATGCGGCAGCAAAGCCTGTTCGTGTCATTTCAGAAGGAGTCCTCGGTGGCTATGGCGGTTCTAGCCCGATAGGTTGCGGCCTCGTGCAGTCAGCCCTGTCTTGTGGCAAGTGTGGTAGACATTGTCTTGTCCAGCTTACAGTCGACCGTTCTCTGAGGCTACACGTATTCGAGCAGCTTGGTGCCAGTACTGCACAGTGCGATGCCATCCAGCGTGACCGCAGATGACAATCTGCAGGCACCTCATACCTGGTGTGGATACGGGTAGGCCCTGTCAAGCCAGCCTCCTTATGCTCTGAGCAGCTAAGGACCTTGGTCATTAGCAACATCCAGACCTACAACTCGACGGGTTGGATTCAGGACAGAACAGGCATTGAGAGACGATGAGGAATTCCGTGCCACGTGGCAGCCTCAGAAGGCAATACCGTGCTCTGGCAGGACTTACAAGTGTTGTTGGGAGAGGACGCCGGCCAGTGCAAGGACCCGTGCCCTCGGTAGCCTCGCAACGAACACACCTCATACCTCGTCTGCCTCGAAGTTCTACAGGGGCAGTGCGGTGTTCCAGCATTTGCTGCCAGGACTTGCATGAGGTGTCGGAGGAACAGGGCAATATCACGGTGATCTGCAGGCGAAGCTGCCGTTTTTTGTTGTTTTCTGGGTGGCTCTTTTCGTGCACTGGTCACCGGTCAGGTTGGAGAATGCTCGGGCTGGAGAGCCAGAGCCCTGGAGTCTCCGCTGAGATCACCACAGCCCAGCTTCGCGGTTCGAGACGCCTACGCCTTCAAAGGAAGCAATGAGAATCCATGGGCTTTTCGGCTTCTCGTTTGGGAACAGACCGCCTCAAGCAAAGGATGTCCAAAGGCAGTCGGGGCTCTCGCGTGGCTGCCGTTCGCATGTTCGAATGAATTGGGGCGCGTCGGTTCCCCTCGCTCAACCATCGTAAAGCTCTAGTGTCTTCGTGTGTGCACGGAGCCGTTTTTGTTTCCTGTCTCCTCGCGTTTCGCGTTGACTCGTTGCCGCTGCTGCAGTGTGAGGCATGCCGTGCATCTCATCTCTATCTCACAGGGGCAGGCGGACCCATCTAAGGCTGGAAGACGCGGTGCAAAACTGACTGAGTCTGTTCACTAGCATGCTCTGCCCATGAGGCTCCGATCGTGTCTGTGGAACCGGTGATCGAAGAGGTGGGGTTTGCAGGGTGCAGCTGTGTGCAACTGGGGAAGCAGTATCGGAACCTGCACAAGATGCGAAGGTGACGGGACTGCTTGGATCTTTGGCTGGTGGCACTGTGCGGTTCCCGAGATGCTCAGCACGTCAATGCGTGACTCGACCCTATCTTGCGCAACCTACTTGTCGCATGATCTGGAGAGGTCCTCTCCCTTGTTGGCGCGGGGCTGCGTGGACTGTCTGGATCTTGGCCGGGACCGGGCTGCCCAGAGGCCCTCGACTGCAGCTGCGATCCAGGACATGCTCCGATGTATTGGTCGCCGGGCTACCGTGTACGGTGCCTGCTGCCAGCAACATCCAGGCATGGCAAAGAAAACCGAGTCGCACATAGGAGTTTGAAGACTCTGCGTGGAGTGCTTGTAGGTGATGGTTCAGAACTCTAGCCTCGCATGTTTGACTCCAAGCCTTGCCAGCTGCTGCCCCAGAACCGGACCATGGGCGGTGAGTGGCGGGTGTTCGCGTTCACCACAAGGCTTCGACGCCTCTGCAAGTCCTGGCACTTGGACTGATTCGCTTGCTTCCCAGCTGGTACTTGTACTGCTTTTGTAGCCAAAGAATGCTGGATCTTGGCATATCTACCTGCAAGCTTCTGCAAGCTACTAAGCTTCTTTGGGACTTCAGGAATGCGCCGGTGACACTGTCGCAGCCGCCTGTGGGCGCGGCGACGGTGCGCCGGTCTGCGCGGGTGTGATCTAGCATGGCCTGAGGTATCACTTGCACTCGTAGGTACGAGCCACCTTCACCTATGCAGCGAGCCACACTCCACTGCTTTCGCCTCAGATCACCCCTGCTGGTAGCAAGCAAAGTTCGTCATGCACCCAGGCTGTCTGGTGTCGATCCGCCTTTCTACTCTGCTGCTCTGAGCACCACGCTGCAACTGAGCGGCAGCTGCTTGACTCAAACATAGCAGGGTTCCGTCTTACGGAATGCTAATCCTGAGAAGCACTGCACGTGCGCGTTTTCATCAGCTGTCGTCTATGACAAGAAGTGTTGAAGATCGGATTGCGCAAGAACCTGAAAGGTGCTCGCTCCGCACACAATCTCGTGCAACCGCACTTCCTTCCACTTCCACTGAGCTTTACCAACTTGTGTCTGTAAATGCAGTGTGCAGTTTGCACGGGTTGTGCGGCAGCCCACCAGCGACCGCCAAAGCAAGGTGGCCTGGATTCCGCAGATGGTGATACCGTCCCTGCCTCTGAACTGCCGTATAGTCTGAATTTGGCATGTTATCGCGAGAAATAGAGGGAGGGACAAAAGGGAGAGAGAGAGAGCGAGAGTCGAAGGCTTTGCCTGTGGTGGGCTTTGGACCGCGGACGGCTACAGTGACCGGACAGGCTGGAGCATCATTCAAGGCGTCGCAGCGTAGGCACCGAAGCCACTGAAGGCCAGTGCAAGCTTGGACATCTGGCTTCAGAGGGCCCGCTGCCACGCAGAGTGGAGTGTAGGAGTGTGTCGGCACATGTGTCCGCACAGAGCGTGACTCAGTGCCCGTGTATACACTGCCTGAGGCCGCACCGACTCCACCAGAGGAGGCCGTGACCATTCCAAGCGCACTGACCCCGGATCTTCCGCGATCTCAACAATGCTGAGCTCCTTGTCAAGCAGTCAGGCCTGGATACCTGGAAAAGGCTTTGCAGCAGTGCCTCCTGGGGTGACCTTCGAGTCACGTTTCGAGGCAGAGACCGGATGTTGGCATGTTTGCCTGCTACTCGCAGGGAGTGACAGCTTGCCAGCTGACAGGTCACCGCAGTCAGTCCAACGAGTGCTTCGAAGGCCGGATGTTTGATGAGATTTCGACTGTGGCTGTGGGTAGACAGCATGCAACTGTCTCAGGCTGGAGGTGTGGTCGTCACCATCACGGGCGCAGGCTTCCACCCTTTGGGGGCCAACAGGCACACAGTCCTTGACTCAGACCTCAGAGAGGCATACCGCAGAGATAGTGCACCTGAAGTCGCGGACCGCCATGCCACATTCCCCGCATGCCCGCACCATCCGAGGTGACCTTCGAGCTGCCTTCCGGTGCGACCCGTCCTTGCGAGGCTCGAGAAGTTGTCAGCCCTTCGGGACCTTCCCTGAATGCTTTGCCCAGGTTTTGGGTGGAAGCCAGACCGAAATCCAATGCCGGCTGCAAGGAGGTGCAACTCCAAAAGCTTTTGTGGAGGTACCTGCGCTGTTTGGTGCATGGGTGGCCTGGAGCTACATGTGCCCGCAGCTTTACAGTTCGGACGTTCAACCTGTAGCGACGACTTTCTGGTTTATCTAGCCCATGCCTATCAGAAGGCCATGTACGTGTTATCGCTGTCACTCACTGCTTTACATGTGGAAGCTAGCTTATTCTGCGACCGCTAGTGACATTGATCTTCACACAAGTAATAGAAACCCGTGCAGAAATCGATTTGCATCTCCAATGCGCTGACCATGTAAAATGTCTGTCCGACTGCCCCGCGTCGTCCCCGAAGTGCGGCCGTTGGTGGGAGCCGATGCAGACCGAGCTTGTCGCAGGAGTACGCTGTGATTTTGCACAGCCGTCCTTCTCGTTCTTGTGTGCCTGTTTGAAGCAGGCACATCTACTGTGCTTCCATTTCTGGAAAGGGCCCTGCCGCTGTGCCAAGCCAAGCAGCATGGATGAATGGGTACGGCATCGCAGTGCTGTGCAGAGGATCAGCGTGCCGTTGTGAGTGGCAGTGTGCATCGGCTTTCGCGGGTGCAGCTCAGGGACCCTCTGTGCATTACTACTCGAAGCGCCTTGGCTCATCGATGATGATGTACAGCAGTCCCTGGCTGGCCTTTTCGCGACGACAGCAACCCAGAAGAAAAAGACTCGAGGCATCTGGACACCCTGGGAACCCCGCGGATCACGCGTGTCATCAAGAAGCCAGGCCGTGCCAACCTTCCAAGACTGCGAAATGTCACACTGTCCATGCCTTGGCAGCCCGCCGCGAGACAAGGCTTGAAGCGTGCGCCCTCTGCCCTCATGGGCAGTGCCCCAACAGGGCGTGGGGAGTACCCGGTGCCTGTGGTGGGCTGTAACCCACGGAGGCCGCCCTCCATGGCAAATCTGCAGGCCAGACCATTCCTGCAGCAGTTTCTCTACGCATATAGGACAATATAGAATCGTGACTGTGCCGTGACGCAGGCTGCAGCCATTGTGACCTGCTTGCAAAGAGCAGTGATGTTTGTGATGCCTCAGTTTGTATCAGCTCAGGAGCAGATGATGTTTGAGAATGGCAAGTTGAGTGGACCCGCAGGCAGCCGGGTTTCCGTGCAAGTCGGTTTGGACGGGGCACCCGCTCGAGCCAGGCACACCGTCTTCTTTGCCCCCGATCAAGGCAGGCCATCTTTGGACTCCATGCTGTGCCGCCCGAATCTGTGCAACGTAAGTCGGTGCTTCGAGCTTTCAGGCTTCTGCTTGGCAGCATATACAGAAGCATCACCCTCAAGTTGGTGGCAAAGATCGGGCATCCTTGGTCCGAATACCCCAGTGGTCAGAAGGCCAACGGTGCAGGGAGCAGCCGAAGACTGCTGTCGCAGAGCTTGCAGTCCCTGCTCTTGTACAGGTGTCTCCAGACAGCGGGCAGCCTGAGCCGGCTGGGGACACGGCGAAGATGGGGCCACTATCGCAGCTTGGCATGTGCCCTGGTCACTTTGTCGTGCTGACATCGGGTAAACTTTGCTGCTTTTCTCTCAATTCTTTGCAATTTTGAAGTCAGCTTCGCGAGCAGTCCGTTCAAGACGGATACCTCTTGAAGCAAGATGACGCAAGGCCAGAAGGCCTTGAACATGTTTACGAAATCTTCGGACAGGCGGTCTGCGTGGCTGCAGTAGGTTCAGCGGCATGCGCAGACCCTGCTTGCCGTGTAGAAGGATTCGCAACTGCCTGTATTCTTGGCATTGAGCAGCAATCTCCTGTTTGCAAGAATGTGGCTTCTAGGCTTGTAGACTTGTAGGCTGGTGCATTGACGCCAATGTCACTAGGGTGCTGCAAAGCAGCACCACGAGCACGCGGCAGAAGCCGATAGCCACTGCTCCTGTAGGAAGATGTACTCCGAGAACATTACCGCAAGTTCTCCGTCATGAAAATGTGGTTGCTCCGAACTTTCGCTTGCACTACGCGCTTTTCTGGTGCCGCGTCTTTTTTTCCATTGCGTGGTTTGCTTGTCAAGGTGCCACGGCAGCAGCTCTTGCCTCCATGGCATCTGAAGACAGTGATGCTGGAAGCGGGGGTCCGGTTGACAACGGCTTCATGCGGCGATTGTCAGACAGGTGCAACCCCCAGAGAGTGTGGCGCAATGATGTCATTCCACTTGCACGGTGCTTGCAAGGCCGAGTGGAAGCAAAGAGCTGCGCTGTCAAGCAGGGGCTGATGATCACTCCAAGGCCTGCCGAAAGGGTGTGTTCCCAGTTGCATGGCTGACTGACTGTCCGACTGGCTGCCGAAAGTACAGTACTCGTACCGGCTGGTTGGTGGATCGGTTAAACGAAGCGCACACGTGCAGAGACACGAGACGCGCACAATCGTGCACACGCACACCTGCACGCACTGGCCCACACACAGACTGCTCGGCGTCACGGTGCCTTCTGCCAGGTCCGCTGCTTCGCGTTCGCGCTGGCCCGGTCAGGGAGCTTGCGCTCGCTGCCCTCCAACACGATGTCAGGCCCGAGGGAGTGTTCAGGACTTTATAGGGGTTATGATGCCTGACAAAAAATGACACAAGAGGCATCGAATTAGCGATGAGTGCAGCCATGAGCCTGCGGCTGTTATCCGCGCCGGTCTTCCCATCGGTCGTCTATGTCTGAAACGCCGAAATCCCAAACCCATCCCATGGCATGACGTAGTCAGATCAGACATCCACTTGGGGTCCGAACCGCAGCGCCAGGTCGGGTCGACGAGGCCTTAGACTTCATTCGGCGAGCAGAGGAAACAGGCTTCGTGAGCGTGATGAGCTTTGCTGACTGTTTTGCTTCACTACGTCGTACGCATCGTACATGTACTGTGTCGGTAGGCGTGGGGTTGCAAGCTTCGCAATTCAAATCGTCTGCATGCGAGTCATACGCCCCTGAATTTGTATCAAGTATGCCGCTCATTCTGTCGCGGGATCCGTCGGAGATCTTTCATTGCTTGAGTTGACACAAAACGGTACCACCAAGACGATGACATGAGGTTCGATGCGCGGTCTGTGTAACTTCTGCAGCAGCTTAGACATCTTGAAGTCCAAGGGCTGGGGCTTCGAAATGTCGAACAAAGGTTCCGGAGACCCCAGCTTCCACAAGCCTGTCAGGCGCCAATCAGCAGCTCGCTCCGGATTTCGTAGACAACAGCGATCCAGATCTTGGAGCAGAGGATTTCGTGCACGGTCTTGGCCCAAGACAGGAGCGGTGACAGCATTGCTCATCAGAGTGGCGTTAGGCCCTGACACTTACGAGGGAGAGGTGGCCAGGCCATTGCCTCTTTTCTGTTTGCAGCGATCTCTGTTGTCTTTCCGCCTGGTGCTTGACTTCTCACAGCAGGCGAATGGAAGCTTCTGCACAGCCCGTTTCTTCAGACTTCGTAGCTGGGCGCCCAGAGGAAAATACCCAATGCTTCACACTCGTGCTTACATGCCCGCACAGGGGCTTCGACGATGGGGAGTCGACAGCGACGAGGCTCAGAGAGCCGGGGCTTCTCGCTCCAGCTGCGAACTTGTCTCGGGTTGTGGCAAAGTGGAAAACTGTGTGGTCCCCTGAGTTTCCTTGAGGTTCCTCGCAATCATGCAGTGGCCCATGTAGGTTCCAGAGCCCTTTTCAGCCTTCAAAGATGCCAACACGGAAGACCGGAGGTGAAGCATGCACGACTTAAGCAGGTGTGTGTGTCTCTCTCTCTCTCTTTCTCTCTCTCTCCTTTGACCAGTTCCAATTCCCGGTCCAAGTCACGGGAGACCGTCTGGTTGCATGGCCGAGAATGTATTGCTGAATGACCTTGTTCTGCATGTGTGATCTTCGGATATGACTTTCGTGAGCCCTTTTTATTGCTCGCTCTCTCTGTCCATGTCGGTCTGGAGACAGACGTCAAAACATTGCTCCTTGTGCAGGCAGAGGACTTCCGATTGGGCCACCTCCGAGCAAGAGTACACAAGGCACTCCGGGCGAGAGTCTTGGCATGCATGCTGCAGTTTCCTACATGTGCGGCTGCTTTTTTCTTCGTCTTGGCTCAGCTCCTTCTGTCTTCTTGGATGCTGTGGAAATACAAAATCGCATCGTCATGGGAACTGCATGGTCAGAGGCAGAGGAATGGGAGGAAGGGGCTGAAGAATCTGAGGACAAAGGAATCTTTCAAGGCTTCAGCGCCCTTTTCTCGTTACTTTCCGGGGAGGATGTCTTCGAAGCCGGCTACGAAGCGGGCTACGAAGGCGTTTGGTGCGACAGGTGCGGAGACAACGCCGGCCTGGAGGCCGATCTCTTTTGCGTGGACTGTGAGGCCGCCTTTTGCTGGGGATGTTCTGGACGCTGGCACCATCCAGGTGGCTGCAACGAGCTGCACTCTCTAGAAATCATAGTGAAAGGAGAGGGGAAGGGGCTTCGAATAGTGACCCCTCTGCTAGATGAGATGCTTATCTGCATCGCTTCATACCAGATAGTCACGGGGCTGAAGGATTATGTTGACAGCCGGTATTTGTTTAGATCTGACATTTGCCCAGTCGTCCGGAAACAGCAAGAGTGGCTTGCCTGGGCTGACACGCTCGTTTTCTATCACTTCAAGGATGCCCTCATGGCGAGCTGCAGCAACGAAGATAACTTTTGGAAGCTTTTGATGGATGCCTGGGTCCGCACCATCGTGACAGATTCCGACAGCCTGTTTCTTCTTCTGCGAACACTGCCCAATGCTCTGCTGATCCATTACCTGGCATCCACTCTCATCGTCCCTCCATTTGCCGTGGCGTATGCTTCGCTCCTCGTTCTGGTAAGAGCCGTGGAATCGCGACTGCCAAGAAGAAACAGATTACTTTGCTGCATGGCGGTTATTTCTCAGCAGGTGAGTGCCGCAAGTGCCAGGCTCGTGTCATACAATATGCAGGTGCTCATGCATACCAAACCGCGGCTGCGCCCTTCCCAGGACACGTTCGAATTTTGGACCTACTGGACTGGCAGGCAAATGCGATGGTTTGATTTCTATTACCGCTCTACGAGAGAGTGTGCGACACAGCTGCTGGCAAATACTTTGCGTTGCGTCGTGGTTTTTCGATGCTTGGGGATCTGTTTTGGCTTTGGAAAGTTTGTGCGATGGTTCCTCGAAAGGATTGGGATGGAAGAAACGATCTCTGTGCAGCAGGTCTGGTTTGCGAGGGTCTATCAGATGTTGGACACCGACGAACTCGTGTGGCGCGGTGTTGCGGGTACCCTTGCAGTGACGACGGAGCTTTTGGTGCGAGCGGATGTCCGCGGCATTGCGACCTGCCTGCTTGGCCTGGCTGGTTTCATTGCGCTGGACGTGATGCTGCGGATAGGGGTTGTGCAACGGAGATGGTTTCAACAGCGCAGGGTTCAGCGAACTGTTCTACTTCCTCTCTTGGTGGTCCTAGTGGCTGTCCCAACAGCGAGATGGGCCTTTATAGTGTTCTATTTCGGAGCAGCATTGCTGCTTTGGTCAGTGCAGCGCCTTGTGCAGTACATAACCGAGCAGCAGCAGCAACGATTTGAAGAGCAGTGGAACGAGACATACAGAGGCCTGGTGCTCGGGTGCTGCCCTTCTTTCGAAGGAGGCGAATGTCCATGCCCCTGCACCCATCCGCGAGAATCAAAGCCATCAAGGCGACTGCAAAAGAACACTTGGGGCCCTGTCCTCCGCTGTCTGAGACGCTGCAGATGCAAACGGCGAGCAAGGACCAATGCCAGCACTTCCACCGACTCCATGTCTGCTGCGGACGCTGACGGAACAAAACGGAGAACGTCGCGGATGCGTGCTGGTGTGCTATGGTCTGCTTCCCCCCATGTTTCCCTTTGCCCAGCTCATTTTGTCTACCACGAGTCGAGAACACAAATCGTAAGAATTTCAGTGCATCATTATGCTGAACTGAAACTACCCAGCACTCGGAGCGCAAAATGCACCCCAGCCCTTTAGAACTCTCAGGCCTTTGCGCTTACTTCCTTGTTGATACCATTTCCCGACTCTATGCATCATACTAGTCGTACTAGACTAGGAAGTATGTAGCACTAGTAGTAAGACAGATGCTGCATCGGCGAGCAGGTGGCGACAAGGAGGCAAGCTAAAGTTGGCTGGACCTTGAGGAGGCTGGCAGCCGACGACAACAATGACACAAACTCGACCGACACCGAGGAAGAAGAGGAGGAGCCTGCAGACCCTGTTGACACTACTGAAAGACTTCTTCTTCGCCTGTCTCTAAATGGTGTCCGACCACTTTGCCGAGTTGGGGACGGCTGTGGCTTAAATTTGACGGATGAGTCTACGGCGGTGGTGACATCTGTAACTCCTCGCAACGGCTCTTACGCGGAAGGTGTTGTTGTGACGATTACGATTGCCAGCCAGCAGATGCCTGACAGTTTGCAGGTGTTCTTTGGTGTGCATGAGTGCCCGAATCCCAGCATCAGTGCCGGACCACAAAGCAACACATGGGTGGTGACCCTCCCTGTTTGCCCCTTCGAAGCTTCTGACGTCCCGGTGTATGTCTTGACGAGTTCCGGGTATGCTGCTCAGGCCTCGCCTCACACAGGTGCAGCTTTCAAGTTCCAGCAATTCCTGCAACTCTTTTCCATCATGCCAGGCAGCGGATCCTTCTTCGGTGGGACGGTTGCAAACATCACTGGGGCTGGCTTTGGTCCGACCCCATCGACAAATCAAGCAACCATCGGCAAAGTGCCGTGTGAGATTTTCTCAGCCTCTCATGATCAGCTCCTCTGCTACGTGCCAGCTGCTCCGGCTGAACTTATGGATGCAGATGACAGTGCGAGGACGCAAAATGTCACCGTCCACGTGGTTACGCCGGCACAGCCTCGACAACCAGGCTTGTGGGGCGAATACTTCTTCTTCGGTCAGGGCAGCACATTCCCCAACTTGAACGACCGAATTCCTGACGTCGAACGCGTGGATCTGACGGTAAACTTCCCGGATTCTGATGACAAGTGGGAGGGTCTACCATCTCGTTACCAATACGCTGTCAGGTGGACCGGTTTTTTGAGTGTTCAGGCTACAGGCTTTTATACGTTCTACCTCGGTTCGGATGATGGCAGCCTGCTGTACTTGAATGGGGCACTCGTGATTGACAATGACGGGCTTCATGGATTCCGAGAGCGCAGCACTACAGAGACGCTATTACAGGGTGGCAGCATCCATGCAGTGTCTGTGTTGTTCTTTCAAGCGAGTGGGAGCAGTGGCTGTGTGTTCAAGTACCAGGGACCAGACACAGGTGGTCAAATAGTTGTCGTGCCACCGACCGTGCTAAGTCATGCAAGGTACACAGAGGCACCGGTGTTGTCCTACATGTACGATCGCCCAATCACAGCGCCCACCATCGAAAACCTGACAGAGTCATCTCCGACTGAACTGGTTTTGGAGGGTTACCGCTTCGGTTCATCGCCGGGGAAAGTTGCTATTGGGACAGCAAGCAATCCAGACACTAACTTCCAGTGTGTGCCGACAAGCTGGACTGAAGGAAGGGTGGTTTGCGATCGTCCAGAGCTCCCGTCCGGTTCATGGCAGGTGCGATTGTACTCTGAAGCGGATGGCTGGTCGAATCCGGCACCGTATCTACTTTGGGTGCCCCTGACTGTTTCATCGGTTGAGGCAAACGACAACTCTGTAGCCACGGATTCTGCTGCCGATCCATGGGTGCTCATCATGAAGTTTGCTGACGGGGGCCTCCTAGGGTACGATTCGGAGCTTTGGGATAATGTTGAGCTCCTCAACGAAGACTCGCCCGAAGGGGAGCCGGTGAATGCCAAATACCCGGCTTTCTTGAATGTCCCGTTCACACGACTGCGTGCCTGTGTTGGCAGTGCGCACGGCCACTGTGTTCACCACAAGTTCGATACACCTTGGTCCAGCGCCTTGGAGCTATTTTCAGCCGGCTATGTGCGTGACCACACAGTAGACCAAGCTGGACTGGTTCAGGCCCTCGGCGCAAAGCCTGGCACGTACAGGTCCTGCCCAATGCTCATGCCCGGTTTCAATGTGAACTGTCCAGGCAACAACAGGGCACGCTGGGGTTACTGCGCCAACTGCCCAAGCAAGACATGCCGCACTGAGTCTGAAGCCGATGCTGCCATTGGAATTGGCCTGCGGGGTGAGGGCTCAGCCGCAGTTGGCGCAGGCTGGACGGATGCCTTCGCCCCCGGAGCTGGCTCATGCTCTTACACGAGTGAGACATCTCGAAACGTGTGGCTTTGGGTTACGAACACAACAGCTACCCCGACAGGCGTGCTGCACAGCGGCTTCGGTGGCGGCGTGAACATGACCGTCCGCGGGACTGGACTTGGCTTCGCCGCTGCTCAGACCAAGATATCGGTCTGTGGGGAGGATTGCCCTGTGAGCACGAGTGATGGGTCCTCTGCCACCTGCACTGTGCCTGCAATGACCAATCTTGACCTGGTGGACGCCCAGCCAGATTCTTTTCCAACTGTTGACTTGGCACCTTACGCTGCGAAATTTTACACGGATCGTGGGGAATCAGAATCCACCTATGCTCGTTTGGCCTTCACGTCGACCGTGGATAGACAAGTAGATCTGCCGAACACACGCAGCAGCTGTTGGTTTGGTTTCGAGTTGCCACCAAGTAAAGAAGCCATCATCACAGCAGTTGACTTTTTCCCTCCGACCGATCCACACAGGAGGCAGAAGGTGGCAGAGTCAGTGTTTGAAATGCGTAGTTTTTCTGGCAATATCTCTTGGGAGGAGATTGGGAGCGTGAGAGACACGGTTCAGACAGGGTGGTCCATCGCGCAGGGGTGGACTTCCTACCCCGTGAATGGTTCTGGGCCAAATGGTACCGCCATAGGTCAAGCATTCCGCGTGCGAATCCTTCCGGATGCCTGCAGTTCCCTCGGTGAGCTGATGAGAGGTGTGCGCTTCCGGGGCATCTTGCTGAACACCGGCGATGCGAGTGCTTGTGCGGTCGAAGTAGAGCACATCTCACATCCGTTGGCTTCCTCCACAGGCGCTCGGCATCCAAACTCTTTTTTCTGGGCTGTGTAAGGGACTAGACGTCTGCACATCATCACCTAGTAAGAAAGCTACCAAGCATGAGCTACCAAAATGTTGATACTACAGGTGGATCCGCATGGCTTCCAGTGCAGCTCTCTTACAGCTTGGAGCGAACACCCATCCTGTCATCCATGACTCCGCAGCGTGGCACCGCTCGCGGTGATACACTCGTGACTCTTTTGGGTGAAGGGCTCGAGCCGTTGGACTCGTCGGGTTCGCCTGTGTCGGTGACATCAGAGAATGCCCAGATATTGCTGAATACATACCCTTGCATCCCACAGGAGAGCAACATGTCTGCACTCAGCTGCATCACAAGCGAGCGAAACAACGGCATCCAGCCTCCTTCGACAGTGCTGTGGCTAGCCGGAAGAGGATATGCCATCATCTCCGAAAGGGCAGAGGACACCGTGTTCAGGTATGTTGATAGGTGGAGCAACGTCTTCAGCTGGTTAGAATCAGAACCACCCGTCGACGGTGACAGCGTTGTGGTGCCCGAAGGTCAGGCAATAATGTTGGATCAGGACTCGCCGCAACTCTTTTTGTTGCTCATCAGTGGTTACTTCGAGTTCGACAGAAAGGATCTGAAATTGGATGCAACTTACATCTGGATTTCTGGAGGAACCTTCTGGGTAGGCAGTGAAGAAGCACCATTCTTGAACCAGGCAACGATCACACTGCACGGAGATCGCTGGCACACCATTGAGCTTCCTGTCATCGGTTCCAAGATGCTGGCCGTTACAGACCTTGGAGGATTCGGAACCTGCGCTGCCAACCACCAGATGACCGTTCGCCTCTCGGCACGCGGGAAGCACTACGTGGACCCATGTCCGGTGAAACTGGTGGGAAGGATGGAGCTACATGGCCGCCCAAGTGTTTCCTGGACGCGACTGGTGGAGACAGCGAGTGCAGGGGCTACCCTCCTTAAGCTCGAGGAGCCCGTTGACTGGGAAGTTGGAACGGAGATGATCATCACCCCAAGCAACAGGGGTCAGGACGAGGCACACTTTTCTGGAGGCTTTCCGAATCCTTCTAAGCCTTTAGCTGCAATCTCGGGCCAGGTTCGCCTGGTGAAGAGCGTTCAGGATGATGGCCTGGCTCCTGGCGCTCAGACGGAAGCAGGCTCAGAGTAGGATCCTTGCAAGGCTACACTGTGGAGTTGGACAGCCCCTTACGATTCGAGCACTTGGGAATTTGGCGTGGGCCGTAGCATTTCAGACATTGAGCTGCCAGCAACGAGCAGGACTTGTCAACGCTGCGCTGTTCGCCAGTCAGTCATGGGCAAAGGTACTTCAATGATGAAATTCCCACCCCGACGGATCTGCGTCAGAGCCTGCAGTTGACATCGTACCCAAAGTCGATGCGTCGTAGGTAGTCGTTTGGCTGAGGTGCAGGAGTGGGACGCTTGAACCGGAATGTTAAGGCAGGGACATGGGTACTAGTTGCTATGGGCAGTATTAACACCTCGTCAGCTGTCGAGGTACAAGGTGATGAGAGGTCGCTAGGTTATGGAAATGCCGGGGGCTGAGCTTCAGAGCTGTACTGTTGGCTGCTCAGTGGCTGCATGTGGCTGTTGTTGATGTGTAGCTTGCAGGCCTACATGTTCGGGGTCCATGTTGGCGCCTTCCATGGTGGTGTTATGCGAATCGAGAATACCGAAATTACCCGGTCGGGACAGGCAGGGCGTTGCGTAGTGATTGGTTCGTTGCAAACTGCGCACAAGCTGATGAAGGCCGCCAACTTCGGACGCTACTCCTCCCACTGGCACGTGCTGTCCCCCCACAGAACCGTGGATGTGGCCGACATTGCCTGGCACTGAATTGCGAAGGTCCGGTGCAGCATAGTGAGAAATGCTTGCTTCTTTGGAGGCTTACTTGCGCAACAACTCCTACCACCGGACCTTCCAGCGAGCAGTAGAGCTGTCCTCAGACTTCGATCTGTAGCCGGGCTTTTGACGCCGGTTCAATGTTTCGGTGCCTCCGGAATCTGCCTCCAAGGTAGTGCACTCTACCGATTTCGCGAGAGTGGAGCACAACGTGGCCTGGAAGACCAAGGGACATTCCTACTTTACTGAGGCACCGGGTGATATCCAGCGGCTGATCTCGCCAACTCTTGCGATGCAAGTGGCACTTGAAGCGAACAGGCCGGAGATGAGGTCTTCACGTTGTACAACCACAACCTGGCTGTGCATCCTCTGCAGTGCAAGCCCCAGATGAAACGATCTGATGGAACTGAAGATGAGTCTAGTGAAGAGGCACCCGCTGCTTCTGGATGATGACATGGACCCTGCTGGTTTCTGGAGTCCCGGATTTACTGGGTGGTCCTGCCGGCATGTGCAGACAGTCTGATATTCTTGGCACGTGACTGCCCCGCGCCACTGTCACTATTGCTCCGCTGTCGCCGTGTCAGACTTATGCTCAGCAAGACAGAGAGTGTTGAACGCGCCACAGACAGCTGGGACAAGTCAAACAGCACCAGTCACAAACCAGAACTGAAACCTGAGCTGAGGTCAGCAATTTGCAATGGTGTAGCAGTCCAGTTCAGTTGTCGCAGCCCGCTACCCGCAGCCTTGGGTGCTGGGTGCGGTCCATTGTGTGCACAGCGGCACATGGCCGCAGCCTCAGAGGGCGTCGCACATGTCTGGGCTGTCGGCAAGGCACAGGAGGTCGTCGTGTATTCTGCGCAGCTATTCTTTTTTGAATGTATTTTTTCTGTACATCTGTCTGTCTCAGCAGCAGCAGGGGGTCGGGGGGCAAGTCGATCTATGTAGCTCGAGAGTGTGCAGACCAAGTTACAGAGGCGGCAACTTGTTACCAAAACTCATCTAAAGTTCCTTGTTCAGTGTGATGTGCAAGTCCTCAGAGTGTTTTGCAACAGCCCTGCCTTCGTCGAGGGAGCCTTACCGTGTACAGGTGGGTTGGCAGTGTGAATATTGATTTCCACGTATGTTGGCGCGACCGGGGTAGGCCCCTGTTAATACTCCAGCTACAGCCCAGACTTTGTCTACAATAGACGATGGAAAGAAGACCTGCTCACTTTCAGTGATCTGCAGGCACTACAGGGACTCGGCGAATCTCTAGCAAAGAAGCTCCAAATCCTAAAGACCGCAAGCTGAAGTCATCCAGAAGAACGTTTTTCTTGACCCTCAGCTTGAGAAGGCGATTGCGGGAGCTCTGCTCTTTGCACTGGCACCCGCTGCCCTGGCCTTAGCAACGTTTTGACTTTCGGTGTCCTGCTATCACAAGAGATCCAACATGAAGTCTTGGCTTCTTCCCCCCTGCAGGTCGGGACTGTTGACCCCGGCTTCATTCCCGCGCTGCCACTTCTTGGACAGGGTGGAAGGATGTTCCTCCCTCGGCCGTGAACTCCGATGCCAGCAACAGCTCGCGGGCATGTCTGCATGTGCGGGGGTGCAGTGAGGCCTATGTCTGGAGTTGGCATGTGCTGTCGATCGTCGGCGCGCGTGGACCCTCAGCTTCATGGGGCCGTTGCAAAGATCACTGGCAAGTGTTATCCTGCTATGGTTTGCTTCCGGCGAAGACCGATTTGAGCCATAATTTGCAACCTATGGTGCTTTCCATGTTCAGGCATCAAAAGATATTCTGACATCAGCTTTGCAACGAGTCTGTCGGGGTTAGGGCGATCATCAACTGCTTGGATTTGCATGATTTGGTTTTGAGTGAACCAAGTCAGGCGGTGACGCTGCGAGACAGGGTGTGCTCGACTTCCTTTTGCAAGGCGCGGAAGATCACCCGTGCTTTGACGTTTGTCCATCCGGTAGACCCGGTAGACCAGGTGGACGACATCTAGATACTGCGCAGATATACGGCAATCACAAGGCCGCATCGTGGCTTCGTGGTGCATGCTTTTAACCTTGTTGCGGCGTAACTCCTGCATCGCAGCTAGGATCCTGCCACTTGCTTATACGCTAAGTTTCCCCTAAGTATCAGTGCCTTGCAGGCTCACCCGGTCCTCTTCCACCCAAGCCCCAGAAGTTGGTGCTACCCAGTCAGTGATTGTGGTTAGCTCCTGCAAGCTCGTGTGCCCACCATCAGGAAGGCAGGTCTTGCACGTTGCCTACATCGAATTTGGTGACAACAGTTTGCCGGTTGGCACCGTCTAGAAAGCTTGGTGGAATCCCCTGCAACACCCGAACATTGATATTTGATATAAGTTCCAGGGAACCCGAGCCTAGCACGGGAAAATGCGTCCAACCTGCGAGCAGGGAGGAACGGGCGCAAAGAGAGTCCACAATCGACAAACTCTTCACAATGACTCGGGAAGCTTCGACCCCAAAAGGCCGAAATGCAGACAGGCCTGGCAGGCCTCCAGCTCGAGAGCAGGGCCCTGAATCTGTGCACACTAAATGTCAGGAAGTCGGTGCGGGTGTTCGACAAGCCGTGGAACTTGGAGCGCCCTGGCCTGTTGGATGCCCATGAAGTAAAGCTATCGAGCTGCAAGCTCAAAACCGGCGGAACGTGCAAGAGGCAACCAACATCTCAATGACTATCCATCGGATATGTTTGCTCTCCGAGTGTGGCGATGGCAGAACAACATCCCCGCTGCCGTCACTGAGGTTCCAAGAGATCAGATCTTCCTCACGACGAAAATCTGGCCCGATGATTTCGGATGGGAGAGGGTGTTTGCCTTGAGTCTGTTGACAGAATTCGTCTTGTCGTGGCTTTCCTGATAGACCACGGCCTGGGTTCCACGAATGCTGGACGAGCTTGGTCTTGAGTGCTTTCGCCGCATTTGTCAGGGCTTTTCAAGGCGACTTTCCTGCGCACCCGGAGTTCGCAACACCTGACAAAGTTTGCGTTAGCCTGCAGCGCCCCACCAACCCAGACCCTCAGGCTAGTTGCCTGGCAGGCTGCTTTTCTTTCTCTCGAGCTCCCCTTCTTCCCCTGGCGCCCTGATCCTGAACATGTCGGACCGAGGAATAAACCGCTTCCAGAATTCGGCAGGGTCATTGCAAGAAGCAGGGATATCGACAAGAGGACGCACGACCGAGACGACTCCGGTGAGCACTCCCGGTTCGCACTTCAGCAGGAGGCCCGACGAGCTGCTCCGCCCAAGTGCCTACAACAAAAGAAACAACGGCAAAGGAGGTCACAGTTTTCCACGGCTTTGGGGGTGTCGGGCGGTCGGACGGGAAGTTGCTCCATTTGTGTGCGGCCTCAAGGTATGTCGATCTGGTCTTGCTGCATATGGCGCGTGCAGATGGCAAGGCAGCTATGGTATGGTTCTCGAGCTGCATGCTTCGTACATGGTCGCTCAAGTCTTTCACTAGAGGACTGTGGTGCGCCGAAGCAGTGTCGGCAAGAGACCTGGCTGGCACTGCAGCGGTTTCAGAACAAGGCTTCCCCCAGACCGCGTGGATGCCTCAACTTATGGCTTGGCTGTGACTCCCTTGGCAGGGTCAGATCCGCGCCCTCGGTGTCAGCAATTTCGGGCTGCGACAGATGCAGGACTGCCTTTGCTTTGCTTCATGGAGCGGACACGGTGGACACCCGACGATGCCAGGAGCTGGCTGATTTGGGAGGATCCCCAGCCTCGCCCTTGGTAGAAAGCATTCCTTGTCTGAGGATTTTCGCGGTGACTTTCATCTATTCACGAGAAGTCTCGTAGGTGGCGGCCAATCAGTTGGAATATCATCCATGGGTGCCAGATGTCCATCGAAAGACCGTTGACTGGTGCCACAGGCCTATGTCTGGGCGGTCTTTCTCTTTTTGCAATTGGGGACCCTGCAAGGAATGGTGTAGCCGTCACAGCCTATGGCTCCATGGGCAGGAAGCTTACAGTGGGCTTACAGCCCAAGGTTTGAAACAGGCATGCCGTGGGTGACGTGCTGTACCATGCGAAAAACCTGCACCGTGAGGCAGCAACTCCTATGCTCCGCAGATCATCAGCCAGGCAATGTCCTCTTCGGCCCATGCAAACAAGACTGGTTCTTAACTGACATCTGTGGCAGGGGGCGCTACAGCAAATCGGAGAGTCTTGATACGATACGGAGTAGATTGGGCCATGACCCTAAACCCGTAGCCCTGGACTGTTCACCAAGGATTGGCATGGCAAAACGGCCGGGCAGGTGTTGCTGCGATGGGCAGTACAGTCGGTTCCCCAAGTTGCTTATTACAATCATTTCCTTGTTTGCATGGTTGTGAGGACTCGTATGAGAATGATAATGATACTTGTGATTCTTCTTCTCGTTAGTATTATTACTATTATTATTATTATTTATCATCAGCAATACCATTTTTTTTATCCTTATACGAATTATAGCTGTATTATTGATATTCTTACTGTTTATATTCGTCTTCTTGTTGCTGCTACTACTACTACTACTACTACTACTACTACTGCTACTGCTACTGCTACTGCCACTACTGCCACTACTGCCACTGCTACTGCCACTGCGACTGCCACTGCCACTGCCACTGCCACTGCCACTGCCACTGCCACTGCCACTGCCACTGCCACTGCCACTGCCACTGCCACTGCTACTGCGACTGCGACTGCGACTGCGACTGCGACTGCGACTG